CCCGGAAAAGGGCCCGCTCCTTGGGCACCGGGTGCTCTGTGTCCCGGTCCGTCGCCAGGTACAGAGTGCCAGGAACCAGTGCCGGGTCAGTCCTCTCCCCCTCTGCAGTGGCCTCCTCCCACCCCACTCTGCACTTGAAGTGACTGGGGCCAGGCTGAGCTCACATGCTGAAGAACAGAGGGCTTGGGTGGCGGCAGCAGTACTCAGGGGTCCAGACCAGTTCTGGACAGGGAGGCCCCCTTTCCTGGGATGTGGTCCGGCAGCCCCCTACCCTGAAGAGCGACCCAGTACCCCTCTCTCCAACTCGGGCAGTAATCTGGGAGCCCCCTACCCAGAACCCTGACCCAGGACCTGCCCCCCCACTCAGGGCCGTAAGCTGAGAGCCCCCCTACCCAGAAGCATGCCCCAGGACCCGCGCCCGCCTACGGGGCCGTAATGTGGGAGCCCCTACCTAGAAGCGTGACCCAAGACTCCCCCCGCCGCAGGGGTGTAATGTGGGGGCCCCCCCCACTACCCAAAGGCGTGACCCCAAACCCGCCCCCCACCCAGGGTCGTGATGTGGAAACCCTCCCGGACGTGGTCTCAGACCTCAGACCCAAGTGCGAGGGCAGGGAGTCTCGAGCAGAGGCAGCCCCCGGCCCAGGGCATACCGCGGCCTCCTCAACTCCCCAGACAATGGGTGGCGGGAGCCCCAGCCTCATCGGCACGGCTCCCGCTCGGTCTCGGCGCCTCACCTTCCGGCTCCTCATGAGTGTGAGCGGCGCGCTGCCGCCCCCAGCACTGCCCGAACCCCCGCGTCCCGGCCTAACGCTTCTCAGAGGAGCAGCGACCCGGCGGCCCTCGGCGCGCGCCCGGCGTCTGACGGCACCAGAAGTTTGGCCAATCACAGCCCGGCATCCTCCGGCATGTGACCCAACAAAGTCGGCGCTGGGCGTAATGGGCGGGGCGGAGGCCATATTTGTGAGGGGCACCCTCGTGGCGGCCCCGTTTAAGCGGGGCGGCGGCCATGTTTGTGAGGGGCACCCCCCCCCCCGGAAGCCCGGCCACGTGTCTGGGCGGATGGCGGGAAGTGGTTGTTCACAAGAGGGCGGTCTCTTTCATCCTCGCCCCGGAGATGGGCTCCTGCCCTGGCGTGTGAATGCCCGGCAGCGCTAGGGTGCGCCCGGCCTGGGGGCTGGCGAAGCCCCGGATCTCGGAGGTGGGCCGGCGAGGCCCTGCGTGGTTCTGCCCCTAAGCTGCCCGCAGGGACCCCGGCGCCCCCAGCCTCGAGCCTCTCCCCGGCGCCGGTGCAGCGCAGCTGGCCCTCGGACGGCCGTACCTCCCGGGGTTCAGCCCTTTCAGTCCCGCTTCTCTGCAGCCCTGGCCTCACGGTGACGGTCCCAAAGGCGCTGCCCTCTCCCCTCTCCGGCGTCCTGGCTTTTGGCAGCTCAGGGACTGTGCATTAAAGCCAGTGTCTGCCTTTGAGAGTTTTAAAGTTAGATGAAATCCAGCCTTGCCTTTAAACACTCCAGGCCCCCAGCTCTGGGCCCTAGGACCTGTGCCTCGAAGAGGCCTCGGTGGGCCCCCGGGGGCCGAGGGACGCCCAGCCCTGTCCTCCAGCCCATCAACCCCCCCGCCCCCTTTGGGGGCTGAGGGATGCCCAGCCCTGTCCTCTAACCCTGCTTGCTGGTGCCCCTCCGGAACTGGCCTCCCGGAGTCGTGGCACAAAGGCGGAAGCAGCCATACGTGTGCTTTGTGAGTCAATGACAGTGGTGTTTACTTTATTATCATGTGTTTACAGGTGAGGACATTTAAACCAGGCAGTTTTGTCAGAAGGATTAGATCTTCCGGTTAAACTGTACAGGTTGAAAAGTGACCTGTGTTGTGCTCCCGCCTCAGGTACCACTCGAGGGTCCCGTGTGCATTGTTCCGTATACAGGGTGATTCATATTCTCCTCCAGAAACACTCACGTGCTCTGCTCCTGCGGAATGACTCCCTCAAAGCCCGGAAATACACTCGATGCCTCTTTTTAGTGCATAAAAAGTGAGGGTACTTAAGGATCCTGCCAGCTCTCCCCTCCTTTCACACTACCCTCTCCTTGCAGAGGCATCTTCAGGTAATTAGGCGGAGCCCCTTCGATTAGGCCTCATGTGGGGTCTGCTTTGGGCCGTGAGTGAAAGCACACGCAGTGTTGGTGTGCACACAGGCACGCTCGCGTGCTCACACGTGCTTGTCCACCCGGCTGCCTGTTTCCCGTGGTCTCCGCGGAAGGGAGAAGACAAATGTGGACTGGCAGGAAAAATCCATTTGAAAGGGAAACTAATCTAACCACTGTCAGCTGTTGAAGAAACACCCAAGGCCGAACCGCGTTAAACACCTGTCCCATTTTCACTGAAATTGGTTTCCTGATAAACTAGGTTCAGTGGTTTTATTCTGGGGTCCTTCAGAGCTCCGGTTCTCATAAACTAGGAGCTGACTGTCACCAGCTAGCGTTTGCCTCGAAGGGGATCGTGGTGTCCGCTGATGTCGGGACTGCTACCCGAGCGCGCCTGACTCGGTGAGGCCCGAGCCCTCGGTGCCTCTGAGCACCGCCTCCCAGAGGGGGATGCTTCATCTCTGTTCACACATTTGCCCTGCGCCCCCTCCCCTGGGTTTGTGTGAATGGTGTTTCCAGCCCCCCAGGTGCTCCGGCCTGACACCCAGGGCCACCCGGGATAGGTGACACTCCCTCAGCCCCTGCTTCGAATCAGCGACCATTCCTGCACAGCCGCATGGCTGGACCCCCTTCTCCTCCTGCCCACGCTGCCCACGGCAGTGGGGTGGCCACTTCCCAGTGGTGGCCTGACCCCCTGCTGAAGCTCTCTGTTGCTTCCCCCCTGCTTCTGGGATCAAGAGCTGGTCCTTTTTTTTTAAATAAGTCTTTTTTTTTAAAGTTTATTTATTTGTTTAGAGAGAGAGAGAGAGAAAGAACAGGGGAGGGGCAGAGAGAGAATCCCAAGCAGGCTCTGTGCTGCCAGCACAGAGCCCGACGCGGGACTCCAGCTCACGAACTGTGGAATCGTGACCTGAGCCGAAATCAAGAGTGGGCAGCTTACCCGATGGAGCCACCCACGTACCCCAAGAGCCGGTCTTAATATGACCTGTAAGGCCCAGCACATAGTAGGTGCTTAGTGAATGTTTGTTGGATGAACGTGTAGCAGGTGGGGCGCCTGCTGCCCTCTCCCCTTACCCTCCCCTGCTCACGCTGCTCCCCTCCTGGCGCTCAGAGTGCAGCAGATCCCCTCCCCCTCCCGGCCTGGGCTCTGCCTTCTTCCTGGAAAACCTGCTCTCCCGGCCCCCCACCTATCTTTCCGGGCTAATCCCATGCTTCAGACCTCAAATC